TTATATTCATTTGATATCATTGATTAAACTCGCTTTATTTTAGAGTATAAAATTACCTTGATTGAGATTGATTAAAAATCTTGAATGCGATGTGTTGAATACATGATATTCATGTCTAATGCATGATTACATGATTTTGTATACACTTGAAATAAAGCTATCGGTAGCTTTCTACCTCTGTGGATGAAGCCACTAAAAGCTTTCACATTATTTTACCAAATTTTTGTTTGATTGAAAAAAAGTCATTGGTGGCTTCTCATCTATGTGGATGAAGCAGCTAGTAGCTTCTAAACTTGTTTACTTGCTTTTTGTTTAAGTGAAATGAAGTCGTCAAATGCTTTCTACCTATATAAACAAAGCCACCAATGGCTTCTAAACCATTTTACTTGCTTTTTTAAGTGATAGGAAGCTATTGGGGGCTTTCTAGCCTTCAAGTGGCTTCCAAACTAGTTTACCTACTTTATATTTAAGTGAAATGAAGTTATTGAAGGCTTTTCATCTATGTGATCAAGGTTACCAATGGCTTCCAAACCAGTTTACATGCTTTATGTGTTGTGAATGAAGCTATCGATGGCTTCTTACTAAAATAGACGAAGTCATCGGTGTCTTTCTAAATGATAGAAGTATAAGTCATCATTGACTTCCAAAATATTATTGGTGAAGTTGTCATTAAGTTCCCATTTATATGGATAAAGTCATTGGTGGTTTCCCAAATAAAGTTATTTAAAGTCTTTAATGACTTTCTAAATTTTAAGGGGTAGGTCATCAATGGTTTTTCAAATGATACGATTTAAAGTCATTAATGACTACCTAAATATAATGGGAGAAGTTGTCGATGGCTTTTCACTTATATGGACAAAGTCATCGGTGGCTTCCTAAATGATGCGAGTAGAAGTTGTTAGTGAGTTCCTAAATACTATAGGTAAAGTTATCCGTATCTTTTCACTTGTATGGATAAAGTCATCTATGGCTTTCCAAATGATATGATTTGAAGTCATCGGTGACTTCTTCAATGATGTGAATGAAGTAATTGGTAACTTTTTACTTATATGGATGAAGTTGTCCCTAGCTTCCTAAATGATATGATTTGAAGTCATTTGTGACTTCCTAAATATTATGAATAAAGTCATTGATAGCTTCCTATTTGTGTGGATAAGTTATTGGTGGCTTGCCAAACGATATGATTTGAAGTAGTTTGTGACTTTTTAAATATTGTGAATGAAGCTATAAGTGGCTTCCTATTTATGTGGATGAAGTCATTGATGACTTCTCAAATGATGTTATTTGAAATTGTTAGTGCTTTTCCCTTCTTTCAAAAAATGAAACCATCGACGGCTTCTTATTGACGAAGGCTGCCAGTGGCTTCTAAATTTTTAATCGATTTATTGTTATGTAATCTAAATTCCACGAGTGGCTTCCTAAATCCATGATTCGAAGTCGGTGATGGCTTTTCACTTGTGTGAGAAAAGTTGTTGGTGACTTCCTATTCATATCAATATAGGCCCTCAATCTTTAAAAACTCATCTACTTTTCGGTATAGGATTGTGTTCACTAAAATTAGCTAAAATTCCAATCTTCTTTACCTTTTTCTTTTGAGTATGGGTATTGACATTGGAATGACTTGAACCTTGAATTACTCTACCATTCCATTCGAATAGAATAAATTTATTTAAATTGGTATAGAAACATAATATAATAAAATCCGACTTTTATTTTTGCATGTATTCAATACAACCTACCACATGTAGGAAGGGATGACGGTGATGTTATTTCTTTCTCATATGTAATCAACCCATTATTTAAATATTTATGTAGACTAATTTATTTAGGATTTCTTACTTCTTTTCGGTTAGCAAAGTAGTGACTCCTTCTCCCATACAGACTCTACGGCTCTCGTCGACACTTTTGCAACAATCTACATACTTATAAAGCCATAATAGATAGAAGCCCACTTCCATAGTCTTAACCTTATTGGATTCTATCAAAGCTCAAATGTAGGAAGAGTATGATTGCATATTCATCACTTACTCTAGGATGTGACGTTAAAACTTACCTTTAACTTGATTAACTCTATGTCATTATAAAGGTCCACCCTTATTGAGCAATAAGCGATTAAGGACACCAAATCATCTAAAGTGATGCCCATATGATCTCTCTTTGTGTGAATGCAATTGTTATTGGTATCCCATAGGCTAAAGATATCACCAAAGAGCGGAGAATTAGGGTTGGGAATATGATTCAAGGTTAAATCCAACACTTCTAAAAATTCTCATGTTGTGCCATTTCTTCCTAATGTTATAATAACTCAACAATCTTGAATAAAGGTCATTGATTTTAGGATGGGAAATGGGCTAAGTCTTGGTTAGGTATTTGGTATAACTTAGGATGTCATTCCATTCTACCCGTCCGGTAGCTTCTAGATGGCATAGAAATATGGCCCTCTCATCAAGGACCAAATGTCCTAAAAGTTTCTACGGTTTATGAACATCATTTTTGGACCCAAAAATCCAAAATATGGAAAAGCCTAAAGAGTTTAATTCTAGAGCCAAGGAGATCAAGAGCAAAGTTCCTACAAATCTCACTAAGGAGAAACAATAAAGTGGATTGGATTAATGAAGGACAATGGGAAGGAATAGACCTAAAGTGATAGTCTAATTACGGAGCAATACCGGATATAGATTAGAAATGAGAAGGAGATCTTTGATTTAGATGTAGAAGAGGAAGCCATGGAAATAAAGGTGAAAATATTAAAGAAAAAAGAAAGGGATAGAAACTATTCGGAGGCACAAAGGATGCGTAAGGTCTAGAATTCTAGAATTAAGGGAGAAATTTTTAGTTAAATTAGTGGAATGGAAATTAAAGTCTCTTTGTATTAATACATGATAAATTAAAAAGATGTGTGGATTCAAATAATCATTGTAGAGTGAAGAGACATATTAGTTCCATGTATCCATAGCAACATTGGGAATTAAAGGGAGACAAATAAATGTATCATTTCTTTTCATATATGAGGAGCGATTTTGTACACGAAAAGATAAAAAGCAGATTTTACACCTAAAATTTGATTAGGGTTAGTAGTTTGAAAAATCAAGTAAGGCCTAGAAAGACTTTAATAAAAAAGCCCATATGTATGGCTCTTAAGAGCTACTAGTGCGCCCAAGCTAAGCCCATAAAAGCAAGCCCATCTAAAAAGGAGAGGCTTAAATGAGCTTTATGTTACGGAGATAAAAACATAAGCAAGAAAATATAGGAAGTCAAGTCTTACTCAAAAGGAAAGACTAACAAGAAGATAAATGATTTGAACAAATGGAACTAGAAATAAGAGGAATCCGAGAATATTGCACAAATGAGTGCGAATACTAAAAAACATAAAACATTACGGACCTAAGGCAAACATGGAGTATTATAATCCAAGAAAGGAAGTTCTAGACCATTACAATTTAAGAAAGTGACTAGTGAAGAAGGATGTAAAAGAATGGAAAGGCTATAAATATTAGCTACAATCGGTAAAAAAAAAAAAACACAATAGGTATAGTTTGTTGGTAGTAATTAAGTAAGTCTGTAATCAAGTAGGCGAGTAATACTAGGTTGATAGATCACTACCGGTTCAATTGCCACTTTCATTACAACACATGAGATCTCTTCTCTTTATGTTTAGAGTTCCATTTGATATCTATTCATCGGCTTTTATGTCCGTAAGTTTTTATGTTTCTAGACTCATTGTCGTTTATAAAGACTTTTAATTGAGTATTTATCAATTCTAGTTTCTATTCAATCTTGCAATCTGTAACTTACATACTTATTGTTAATAGAAGTTAATTTATGTTTTGAACAGAGATACTATAGCCAATATTACTTTTAGTTATTATACTTGTCATATATTTGTATTCTAACTTAACAATTGAAACCTTTTGTGCGATCTAGAACCCATTCTTTTAGATTATTTGGTCTTTGCATCCTAGCATAGGTAGCGATAGAGATATTGTTTTGATTAGTATTACTCGTCCAATTTTCATATTTATTTAGTAGTTTTAGCTATTTAATTTAGAGTCGATAAGATAGATCGCCCTACGGACTCCCTTCCAACCATCTTATAAAACTTTTTGTTTAACGTCCTCTTAACTAAGGCCGACACAAAAAAATCCACATCACCATGGAATGAATATGGTTATTAAAAGATTTACTTTTTAATGTATTATAGATATTTTGAATTCTACATGATGTGACCATTTGTAATTGATGATTTATTAATTAATATATTTCATAATTATTATTGTATAATTAAATCCGATAAGAAAATTTAATGATTAATTTTTTTTAAACAATGTCATATCACAAGAAATTTTAAAATATTTAACTAATAACTAGTAATAGTTATTTTACACATCAACTTTAAAGAAAGAGACATGAAGAAAAATAAAAGAAAATTACATTTTAATTAACCAAAAATATTAAAAGTATTTCAATCTAAACTCAAATTTTTATCTAATTTTTTCTCCTCTTTGTGTCTAAGTATTATGAGTTACTCTAAGATAAGATTTCTTATCGCAACAATGGGTAAGGATAAGTTTAATCTAATTACTCTTTAATCCATGTTTTATCCAATTATAGCTTTATACCCATTAGACCAGAGTAATGATGACTGTTGAGCACCTTAATTTGTAAAACTTTACCATGTCAAACAACCTTATATATATATATAAGAGCATAACTAAAAATAGAAAAAAGAAATACTTGCAAATCAAAGAGAGCCCATAAAATTATACAAATGCTAATATAATTAGTGTATATTATCTAAAATCTAATGCATTAGGTAATCCATAAAATTTCCTAATATATTGGACATATTAGTGGACTTTGTGCAATGGATAATTAACCACCTCAGCGTTTGTTATCCCAATGAACGGATAACCATTCATGGAAGCATTTTTAGCATCCAAATCTCTATAAAATAAATGGCTAATTCATTAATAATTCAGAGTTACCAAAAAAATAAAGAAATGGCAAAGGTAGCTCTGTTGCTTTGTGTTTGCGTTCTAGCTGTCTTTGCTTCAGTTAATGGCCACACAGAAAAGAAAAAAGTTGGTTTCTATGAGCTTAAGAGAGGAGATATGTCATTGAAGTTCACTAATTGGGGAGCAACTCTAGTCTCCTTTGTTCTCCCTGACAAAAATGGTACGCATTGTAGGTACTCTTCTATTAATTTTCCCTGGTCTCTAGTTAGCTTTTGGCCTGAGTTCTTTTTCTTATATATATGTGTATATCTATATGATCCTCTTTTTCACTCTTTTCGGGGTGTGTTATAGGAAAGCTGACTGATATTGTTCTTGGATACGATACAATTGATGAGTACAAGGTAGGATTTCAGTTGTTCATTTGCTGCTAGCTTTATTTGTGAAAGAAAAAAATGAGTGAGATACGCCAACAAAGAAACACACCTCGTCTGACAGAAAGTTTGATAAATAAATTTGTGCAGAACGATACAACATATTTTGGAGCCATTGTTGGACGCGTTGCTAACAGAATTGGAGGTGCTAAATATAAGCTAAATGGAGTCACATATAAACTAGAAGCTAATGAAGGGAAAAACATGCTTCATGGCGGTCCAAAAGGATATTCTGATGTTGTTTGGAAAGTGACCAAGTATGACAACAAAGGTCATAATCCTCACATTGTTTTTACCTATCACAGTTTTGATGGGGAAGAAGGTTTGTGAATTTCTGTCTCAATCACTACATTATTTTACTCCATGTCATCATGGTCATTAAATTTGGCCAAAAAAATTGAGGATTGCTCATTCTGATAATTATTTGGAAACCCTGCAGGATTCCCTGGAGAGATCCTAGTCACTGTCAGGTATACTCTCCTTGCAGATAACCAATTGAGCCTTGTAATGAAAGCCAAAAATCTTGGTAGAAAGACAACCCCTGTAAATCTTGCCCAACATGCTTACTGGAACCTAGGAGGCCACAACAGTGGCGACATCTTGTCTGAAAAGATTCAGATTTTTGCATCCAATTACACACCTGTCGATAGCGAGCTCATCCCAACTGGAAAGATTGAAGCTGTGCAAGGAACTCCATTTGATTTCCTTAAACCTAAGACTATTGGAAGCAGGATCAAGCAACTTCCTAATGGTTATGATATCAACTATGCTCTTGATGGTGTCAAAGGCTGCAAGGTTAGAAAAGCAGCACTGGTGCACGATGAGAAGTCCGGAATTGAAATGGAGATCTCAACAAATGCTCCTGGGTTGCAATTCTACACTGGTAACATGATCAAGAATTCCAAGGGGAAAGATGGATCTGTATATAAGGCTCATGCAGCTATATGCTTGGAAACTCAATGGTATCCTGATTATGTTAATAACCCCCAATGGCCTCAATCTATCATGCATGGCGGAAAGGACAAGTACAAGCATGAAATGTTGTACAAGTTTTCAACACACTAAGGGCATATTGGAATAACTTTTTGTACTTAAATCTTATTGTACTATATATACCACAATTTGTGGTATTTCTTTGAAATAAAACAGTATTCTTTTCTTCCCATATTCTACCTCTTTTCTTCTTCTTCTTCTTCTTCTTCTTCTTCTTTCTTTTATTTATTTATTTATTAAGGTAATCATATATATAAACACGAAAATTAATTCTATTGGTGTGTTGCTGAGAGATGTCGGACAACGAACTTCTATAGAAAAAGGATTATAGGAAAAGGATAAGACATTCAAGGTAAGAAAGAACTTGTATAGGAAAAGGATGTATAGAAAACGAGATAAGACATTCGAGGTAAGTGGTTGGTTATACCAAAAAAAAAAAAATAAATAAAATTATTAACTTGTATAGGGAAAGGATAAGACCTTGAAGCCAATGAGTTGATTATATGAGGGGAAAAAAAGAGAAGAAGAAGATAACAATCATCATTTAATGTCATAGCCGATGTATGCTCGCATCATATGTGATGGTTATCGAACTCACCAAATTTAATTAGCGATCTTACCAGTCAAACTCTAGAGACTAGATGATTGAGTTTGTTCAAGTAGAACCAATAATAGAGATTTTGTTTGTTTGCAAAGTCGAAGTTATAAACAATAGTAAAATAGAAAAAACTTCAATTAGAGAGACTTCGGTTTAAGAGAAAATCCAAACATTTAATTTGTAGATTGATCATAAAAACCTAAATTATTATCATTTCATCGAACACCTAGCCTAAACTTATGTAGAACCTAGAATATATCTGAATCTTTCCTTTATTTGTTAATTTAAAGTCCAATACTCAAATGATATTCTTATTATCAATTGATTTTGATATTTAAACAATCATAGTCAAATCAATAATAGCATAAAGAATTAGGAAGAAGCAAAGACTCGAATAACAAATTAGGACCTCTAAAATTGTTTAATTCGTTCTTTTGTTTTACTTAATTAGTCAAAAAACTGAAATCATAATCATGAAAACCTATTTTTCTACTTATACTAAATTTTCATAAAAATTGCAGATTAAAAATGTTAGCTAGCTAGCAATTACAATAGACAACCGAATTAATGGATCCCATAAACGATTATCTATGTAATCATAATTAATTAAATTCAAAGATCAATTAATTACATTAAGATATACAAAAGATACTTAAATTATCAAGAATAATTTAAAGGTTAAACTTGTGTCTTATAATCTTTTATAAATTGAAGTTGAAATCTCTTGAATTGAATTAATAAAATTAGCTAGACATTTTATGAAGCACAAAATTCTAAATTATATAAACAAAAACATGTCACTCAATATGTAACTCTAGATCCTATTTATACATTGTGTATAGATAAATATGATAGCTCATAACTCGTATTTAAAATTATTTCTAAAATTAATTAGGACTTGTTGTTGAATAAGACTTCAAGTTCTATGCTGGAAATTTCAAGCTAATTTAGTGTTAGAATAAGGTCGAATTTGGACTCGCCTCACACAAAAATTGTAGGTCTAGATGTCTTTTTTGTAGGCTTTTGAATCATCTCAATCCAATATGTATAACTCTAGATATGATTCAAAAACTAATCAATGTTCCAAATTAAAACAAGATCCAAATTCTTAACATGAATTTGCAATCGACTTTGATAGTCCAAAACAGATTGAATTTATGTATTTAAACCCAATTTGGAAATCTTAAATTGTACACTTTAAACCTCAAGAAAGAATCTTTTATGTTCTTGAGTTCTTCGAATGTGAAAATCCTATATCTTCCCCTAAAGGTCAATCTGTCGGCATTGGAATTTTACCTTCATTTGCACACTTTTTCTCCTTTATCTCCGAGTCTTCTTCTAATTCGTAAAATAAATATATTCAACTCATATAAATTAAAATCACATTTAAAAAATAAATATAAGAAATGAATGTAATCAATAATACTCACTTTTAGCATGTCTGTTCTAAACATTTATGTTTGGGTTTGTTTATTAATTAAGTCGAAACTAATTAGTCCTCAAAATCAAGTGATTTAAAATTTGAATCAATAAAAGGCATTACCCCAAATTTAATGTATATATACCTTGATCCTAGAGAAAAATAAAAAAGCAAGTTAAACCCGATTAATTACAATATACTCAAAGACTCTCACTTAGATTCATTGTGTAACACCCTTAACCTAGGACCTAATAGGTCAAGAATATTATTGACCTTGACTTACATTCAAATTGCAATGAATGCAAGCCAAAAAGGATCTATGTCTTTCCTATATCATTATTAGGTATGGATCTAACTACGGAAGCTAAGCTATGACGGAAGGGTCCTAAATATCGATCCAAAATGCATTATAAATTTTTTAGTTTTACCATTTTATTTAAATTATTTGAACTGAATAGACTAAATCTGTGATGTTTGGTTTTCTCAAATTCCTTTTCTATTAGCCTATATAAATTTATTTAATCATTACCGTTACTCGTTATTTAATTTCTTTTGTTTTCATTAATTGCCATTTATTATTATTATTTCCTTACCATTTTTACTATCTTATTTTATTATTAATACTAGAATGAAAAAATAACTTGAAACTACAATAACTATGGCTATGTTATTACTATTTTACTATAGATATTTTGATTAATATACGGACTATCGTTAATTTACATATGCCGAGTTTTATGTTATCTATTACAAAAATGACTTATTTAGTATATCCAATTTTTTTTTCAACTAATTACTCATTTCTTCATAGCTTTGACTATCATATAAAAGAAAGATGCCATATCCGGAAAATATATTAAGATACCAAGCACTACAATAACTATAGTTTGGAGGAAGTTTATCTTGTAGCCACATCCAAGATACACACGACTCACGATCCCTTTGGTAGTCAACTCAAATGTGAACATTGGTATCTTTATCTTTTGTGCCTACACCACCATTGGAATTTGGTGACTAAATACCCAATAAGTCAATCTATGTATGATATGCATGTATGTGAAATGCATATGATAAATTACATGCTTATCCTTTGAAAATCCTATTTCATGTCATAAAATCCTCGTCATGAACATTCTAAAAATCTTTTCCGTCTTCCCATCTCTTGACTTTAGGGTTTTCTTGATATGTCTAGCGAATCGGATCGGTTTGCGAACGTGCCTTGCCGAATCTCCGAAAGTACATGTCCGCACCCACCTAGCCCTAGAACCTTTAATCATAAAATCCATGGAAGAACTATGAAGGCCCCGTTCATAAAATCATGAAATTCATGAAAACTTCATAATCATGAAATATTTCTAATCGCTATTGGAAAATCCTTGAAATAAAATCCTCTTTTTTATGACCTTTAAACCTTCTTTTTTCATAAACTTAGCATGCATATGCATTTCAATGTAAATGCATAATTATCATGAACTCATGTAGTGCATGCCATGAATGGTGTGTATTTATCCCATGATAATAGATGGTTCAACATTATAAATGCACTATGATATTCATACCTTGCATTGTTATCCAAATCATTCCAAGCAAGGAAACATTAATATAGGATTACATAACACACATTGGCAACAAAACAAGGTACTACAATTCATCAATCATCAATTTTATAACCATTACACATAGTGAACACATAATACACATCCTTGGCAATAATTGAATCACAATACAACCATTATACATCAATCAAATCATAAGCCCTACTTCTTCCTAATATGGTCGAATGTGTCATTAATCTAGGCTAGATAATTTTTTTCAAATTTCTCTTCATGCTAATTCGTTCAAATATATTTTGATATCAAGAATTTAATCAATTAAGCATTCATGAGCTATTAGAATGCAAAAAATCTAAATTGGGTCTAATGGGTCGAAACCCCACCTAGGATAACCTAAGTTAATTTTTTAATTTCAATAAAATTTCTCATACTAATTTATCTTTTTACATTATACTAACTTGAAATTAACCAATTTAACCATTAGAAACTCAAAGTATTAAAACTCTAAAATTCCTCTAAATTGGATCGAATATGACCTTAGTGTAACTAAGGGAAACTTTCAATTTTTATGTAATTTTTCACAATCAATCATCAATTTATACTTAAATAACACCTAATCAAACAATAATTCATCAAACAAGTCAAAGGATCCAAAACCCTAAAATAACTAAATTGGGCTGCATGGTGTTCAAAAAATTAATGTAAGAAATTCTTGTTTTTAACACCTAACTTCATGCTCAATTAACGTGTTCTAACTTTAATTGTATGAATTTCTAAATTAAAATCATTTCTCTTAAAATTTTCTCACCAAGAACCATAACCCTAATTTTCAAAATTAATTCAATTAAACATAAATTAAGGGTTCTAAATCAACAATTAACATTCAATAACATTTCCTTGTGGTGTAGGTGAGATTAGTTTACCTCTAATGCTCCAATTAAACCTTAAAAAGTTGAATTTCTTGGAAAAGTCTTCTTCCCTTTTTCTAATTAACATTAGGCCAAATCTTCAAATTTTTCTCCTTATGATTTTGATTTTCTAGCTTGAATTTATGCTTAATTAGATGTTTTAGGGTATTTAAAAGTGTTTAGGTGGTGTGAGTGGAATTCTATGAGAATTTTGCAAGAGTTTATCCTAATTTTTCTAAACTTTTTCCATTTCTCTACCACCCATATTTATAGGTAGAATTGGTTGGACTTTTTCCTTGGTTGACTTGACCTCCACCCTTAATTTGGTTCAATCTTGGCCACTGATCTTTCTTTTAATCTTATCCCCTCATTTATGTTAATCTTTAACCATTCATTCTTCCTTTAATTTTTATCCTTCCATCTAATCATCATCTTTAAACCTTAACCCACCATTTGTGCATGCATTAATTAAACCCAAATAATTGAGTGTGAGTGGCAATAAGAAGAGGAGAAAATCTCTCCATAAAATTTCTTAATTTTAGTCCCTTAATTTGTTAATCTTTCCTTTAATTACTCTTCCACAAGTCCTTTAA